CCATCAATGAAATAAAATGTAGAGACAAATACTGAAAAGGAAGGTAAGCTTTGGGTAGTAAATTGTCTGTTCTGACATCAGATAAATAGACGTGCACAGTCAATATTGATTACTTACTTGTGAACATGGCTACTGAGCTAGCAGATCCCCGTGCAGAAGAAACAACTGCCCCGCCAGCCTGCACTGCGGTCATTTTTTTCACATCCCCGTCATTGACTTGTGACTGGGACACACTGAGAGAGGTCTCAGTCTTGGCCTCGTCATCACTGTCAAACCCAAACGGGTCTTCTTCATTGTCACTGTCTTCAAGCCTGGGTCTTTTCAGCAAGTCAGACGTGTCAGGTTTTAAAAGAGGCCTTTTGGCCCCCAGTTTGGCCTTGTAGGTGGTCTCCCCCCATTTGGTGGTCAATGTGGGTTTTTTATTGGAAAAGACCTCTTCAAATTTCGAGTTAGCCTCCCCTCCCTTGCGGTTGTATGTTTTACCAAATCTGGATGTCATGATGGTTGCTATATGTTACATATTCCCTGTGGAAAGAGGCAGAAACGAGTCAACATAACACACACACACACACACAGGTTAAGTAAACACATGTCACTGTTCAGCAGACTGCAGAATTTTTTTTTTTGCAGTAATGTTAAATGTGACGCAGCAAAAAGAGAGGACTCGTTTCCTCAACAATCTGTAGGAAAAAAAAAAAAAGGCTGGATTAATTAACCTGATGGTGGCTCACAAGTCATGTGTCAACTACCTGGTGGGAAGCATACAAAACGATCACGGCTAGCTCGCTAGTTTTTAAAAAACATCGTCGTCGGTCGCATGTGATTAATAAAATACGAAGCAAATGCGATTTAAATGAGGTATAGAATAAATCAGCGTTGGACACGTAACCAAAATTAATTCAAGCAGGTAAGTTAACTAAACTACGATGATTAACCCCAGCTAGGCCTTCTCCTGTTACTAAAGTTCCTGTAAAGTTAGCAATTAGCACTTAGCCTCCACACTGAGCTAACATTAGTCCCAATGTTTACATTTCACACCCGACTGGATACAAGGCTGATTTTTTTTCTTCTTCATTTAATTCGTATTATATATTTCAAACATGTGCATTGCAATATAGAGTTGCTGCATTAACAATTTTTGTTTTAGTTAAAGACCAAGAAGAACAAACTGTTACCTTTCAACTCCGGCGCCTAGCTAAACGTCCGCTTGTTTGTTAGCCAGCCGGCTAGGCCTGAGCTCACAGCCGCGCACAAACCAAGCGGGTAAAGTCCGCGAAGCGCTGCAGAAAAGGCGCTACGAACACACCTGCACACGTAATACACCTCCAGAACAATAAACCTCACAGCAGAGGAGTAACCAAGAAGCTTCCGTGGCTATTGCAGTCTAAATACAGTGGATAATCTGGACTTTTAGTATTCTGTAGTGCTACTGGCGGCCATTAAAATATCCCCTCCCTCCGCGCTCCTTGCCAAGACCCCCTTGTAGTCTGCTGCGAGAGGGGGAACCAGCCAATCAGCTACGGGGAGGTTTCTCTGCGCTTTCAGAGCGTGTCAGCAAACGTGACTCTGATTGGTTTAATACTGAGAGCATAATAAATGATAGGGGGCGCTGGAGGACTACATTAGTTTGATTTTAAACCAGGGGTGGGCAACTGGCGGCCCGGGGGCCACATGCGGTCGCCCCATCAACCCTCAGCGTGGCCCCTCAGGTTAATTTTTTGTTACATATCAATTAATTGGAAACATGAAGAAAAACATGATGAAATCTGCCATGAAATCATGAAAACCAGAAATATGTCCATGATAATATTTGATCGCTGGTGTATGTTGAGTTAAATTTGAGACATAATTGACTGTAATCGTTTTTTTGTATGCTACAATTTGGCCCTCTGGCAGTGAGAATTAAATGAATGTGGCCCCTTGCTGTGAACGAAGTTGCCCATCCCTGATTTAAACTTTCCGACGTACACCGATAAAGAGAGACGTTTTTGTGAGTGTTGTCCACTTAGGTAAAATATAGCCTACCTGAATTAAATATTTTTCGGATAACACGACACATTTGTTTTAGAATGCATTCCGACATATCCTCGATAAATACAGTATCATATTATATTTTGATATTAACTCGGTGACACGATTAGTGATTATTTATTCAAATAAGGAAACCCTCAACTATTAGATTGTGGAAAAGTGTTTTTGGGGCCTGATGGGAGGTCGATGCCCAAGGGGTTTAAGTTCTTTTAGTGATTAAAGTAAGCTATATGCAATCAAATGTGAATTATAGAAACTGCTTTCATCTTATCCTTCTTTCCTTATAAGGCATATCTTATACATTCAATAGACCTAATTTTATACAGCCAATGTTGACTGTTCTGAACTGTATGGACTGAATGTTCAAACACCTGCAACATAGGTGCAGATAGACTGACTCTGGTCTGGGGCACAGATGGCGTCAAAGAAATGAATAGTGTGTTATTCACAGCCTTGGGTCTGCAGGCCAAAGTGGTCCCAACTGTAACAACACTGACATGACCTTAACTCAGACAACACTTCATCCTTCAAAGCAAGAAATTGCCTTAAATATAGGGCATAGGGTCACTTTTCTTACATATGAAAAATAGGAATCCGATTCCCATGGCAGGCATTCGTAATGATTTTCAGTTTTACTCAATCTCATTAACAGAAAACTTAATAACTCGTACAATTTAGCTGTACATTTTTTATATATCAAGGGGTTAAAACAACATACAGCTGTATATTAGCTGTATAAGACTGTAATACCTTAACAGTGAAATGGAAAAACCATGATCCTGTTTCTTATTTTTTCAGGTGAGTCCTTTTGTTCTGAATGAACAAAAGACTCAACACTTTTCTAAGTCACATGGTTTATATCATCATGCTACATTTGCATGAGGATACAACTTGACCAAAACACACAACATATGCATTTAGAGTTGTAGAATTTTGGCATCTGAGAGACAGAGAGTGTGTCACTCTGCATCCAGGCTCAGAGATGGTGAGGTAATATGGCCAAGCCCTGGATGACTGATGGATTGGAGCTCAGGTCTTGGCAGTCAGGCAGTTATTTCATCATTGACAGGCAAACTGTACAGCTGGATCCAATACCATGCATGCTGTAATCTCCTTGAATGTTATGGAATAAATGAGTCAGCCATTTGTGCCATTGCCAAGTGAAATATAAACACCGACTCTTTGTGTAACATCTGTATGAAATATTGCAACATATAAGGACACATTAAGATAAGAGACTGCAACACTCATGCAAAGCCATGAGATGGCAGCAACACTTTCTTTCTCCTGCACCTTTAGCCTTTTTTCCAAAAAAGTTGACAACATTTGACATGTATTAAATGAGTATAAATATGTTTTAATGTACAAAAGATCTATAAAATACTGGGATTATAATAAATCCCTGTAGGTTTCTTGACACCATGGGAAAGCATATGTCTATCACAGTCACCACATGGTTTATGGGAATAGAAAAATAATGGTAAATATATACTTTTACTGATTATTAAAGAAGGGTCTGACTGTCAAATGGTAAAACTGTAGCATTACTACAGAATGTTAGAAAGTTTGAAAATTCTACAATTCACTTAGCAGAATTTAAAATTGACGGACATCAGAGAGTAAGTCAGCTTACTCAGCTTGAAGTCTGATTGGACACACAGGCAGAGCACAACAAAAAAACAGTTATATCATCAGCTACAACATTTATCAACAGCTGTTCTTGAGAGTTCTAATCAGCATCAAAACCATCCTAAACATCATCATTATCAATATAATTAAGTGCGTAGGTGTTCATAACAGAGTTGTGTCTTTAGCTTTTTCTTAAAGGTGCAAAGTGACTTTGCAGATCGAATGGAGTTTGGTAGTTTGTGCCACCACTGGGGGGCGACAAAAGAGAAGACTCTAGTTAGAGACTTTGGGCCCTGTTGTGAAGGTTGGCTCTGAGTCTTCCATTGGCAGAGCATAGTGGGCGAAAGGGAGTGCAGACCTGCATAATAGAGTTTAAAGTATGTTCCTAGGGATTCAAAATTAATCTCAATTTAATTTTTATTTTGCGAGATAAGCATTTGCAACAAACACATTGCAAAAGTCTGAACAAGAAATGCGTTCTCACTCAGCTTGCTTACGTCTTACCCATTCGATTGAGAGTTGAATGGCCATGCTTTCTCACCATTTTAATGCAGTCAGAGGAAGCTCAATCAACTATCAGCTGCCCTCAGATTAATCGTTGCCAAGTAAGTGGAGTAGAAAAAAAACTGTTTTGTTTTATTTAAATGTATTTTGGACTTAAGAGAGACACCTCACAAACACAAGTTTTGAGCCAAGCATGAAAAGCATACCAACTGTGAGGTATTGCTAATTTTCACTCTTAATATTTGGTTATTGATTGCACTTTAATTTTTATGGCAATATTATTATCAAACAAAGGTTCCTTTAATCTCGCTGTAATGGAAAAGAAAAATAGCTCTTACAGAGTGCTTTTTTCCCCTTTTTAAAGATCTTCCCGTAAATCCTGAAGCTAAATTGTAGTTAGTGGCGGTTTCTACAGTTCTCATGGGATCTATTTCATAATTTTCATCCAAAGTGTATGTGGTACACAAAAATCCCTACCAAAACATTGAGTGTATTCACACGAGGCCCTCATCTGTGACCAATGCATCGTGGGTCAGATCTCTGTTTGGCTCGCACTCCGGTCTCTGAGGCCAGCCTGCATAGCCCCAAGCCCAACAATCCCAACAGACCACTATCAAGCCCATATGACGGCAATAAAATAAATCCAAACCAGATCAAGATTTGTTTTATGACCCCTTTGTGTGTGTGCCTGTGGATGAGCAATGGTTAAGCAAACTCTTGACTCACAAAGAAAATATTGACATGTCAGCCTCGGTTCTGTCTGTCTGAAATTGTGTGTTTTCTTTATGTCTATGTGAAAAGAAACAGAAAGGAAAGGAGTACGTTTAAAGGCTGAGTGTCAAAACAGAAGAATGTAAACTTTATTTTCTTCTCATTATACATCACATATTAGACATAAACATTCTACAGTACTTTTAAAAGGAGTTTATAAAACAATAATCATACAAATCAGATTTGCTCAAAATATGCTGTGGAACGCCTGACGAAGCCAGAGTCCAAATAAAAGAGACAAAACGAAGAGAAACCCGTTTTAAAAGATTTCTGAAAATCAATTCTCACTGAGTGAAAAAACAGTAGTAGAATTGAGTAAAGCATTAAAGACTCGAAGTGAGAACAAACATTGATATCAAAGTACAGCACTGCATACAGAGCATCTGTAAGAAGGCTTTCCTATGGAAACCAAGAAAAGCCTACTGGCAATTATTATTCAAATGCTGTTAATAAAAGATTAAAAGTGAATTATGTCTTTACCGTAGAAGAGGAAATTATAGTTTAATCCTTTTATTAACGTTTATCAGAGATGAGGAGTCCCATGCAATCATGCATGATACATTTCACATCAAGAAGAACTCATTATTGTTTTTAAAGAATCAAACAGTATTCCAACCCAATTTTTACATGCAGTCAGCATAAGAATGTGTATTTAAATATCCCCTTGTGAGTTATGACAGACATCTAGAAGATATAAATCAGTTCTCCATAATTATTCACTGATCCTTGTATAATGGAAATCATTTTCTTGGGATAAATGACTTGTCAAATTCTGTTTGTGTTTTTAATGATGATGAGATTAATAAAAACCTACTTGTGAACATGAGAAAACAACCTTTTGTTATTTCCAGATAATAAACTCATGATTTTGAGATAACCAATTCAAAAAATGATTACCATTTTGGCCACTTTGACCTTCCATACATTCTTTTTCAAGACAAAGCCAGGCTTGTCCAGGGTGTGTGGCATCACTGGCCCATGGCCACAGAGGAGAAGGGGTGTCAGTAGAAGCCCCCCCTCCACCCCACCCCTCGATTTAAGGTCCACTGGTAATGAGTATAAAAACTAGCTCCAGCTCCTATGGTGTTTCCTGTGGAGGGTCAAGGGTCAATCTCCATGGGAACGACCGTTAGGATAGCGTCCTCATTTCCACGGCGCACAACTACTGTCAAGGTGTCGTCAGTCTTGATGGCGGCACTGACATCAGTGGCTGATGAGATCCTCTGGCCGTTTATTGAGATGATGACATCATGCTCTTTTAGTCCAGCACTGGAGCAGAGAAAGAGAAGACAGGACTGATAAATCGCTTCATAAATGGCAAAAACATCTGGATGACGGCAAAAATATCACAGCATTTTTTTAAATCCAGGCCTGATCATCTTAATTAAGGGATGTGATATTCTGGCAGTTTAGACACAAAAGGGGCGACTGGGCCTGGAAGACAAAATTGGCCAGCAAAGAGGGAACGCTGTTCACCTATGTTTCAGATCCTGGCCAATGTGCACACCGCCAATTTAAATCCAGCTGTTGTCAGCCATGGTACTCTCTTGCATCATTTCTCCACTGTATACTTTTTAATATGGGCAAAAAATGCCACAAAAATAATCCCAAAAAGGATAATGTTGTTCCATGTTAAGTCTCAACTGGTCTTCAAGTTTGAGTATGATAATAATCTGTATGTTTTTTTTAAAGTTATCTTTTTGACCTTTATTGTATAGGACAGCCGTAAAGAGACAGGAAATGTTGGGAGGAGAGAGTGAAGGATGACATGCAGCCAGGGGCTGAGGTCAGATTAGAACCCTGGGTCACTGCAACGAGGACTACAGCCTCTGAACATTGGACGCACCACATAACCGCTAGGCTGCTCGGCTCTTTCCAGATATTTTTAGATTATTTTTAGTTTTCTTTCTGGAAATAAGCATACAAATGTATGTCTCTTTTATGGAGATATACGGACCCCAAGTTATTTTAGCCATGCATTCATCAGGAAGGGAAGTCAGAGAATAGTGAGAGACACACAAACACATTGTTTTGTCATTTTCTGTGGGATTTGCTTACTTTACAAAAAAATGCATTGACAGCTTTTCTTAACATTAGGTGTTACTTTAATTCCCACTTTAGATTTCAGGATGACTTAATAAAACAGGTTGATTTAGTGGCTTAGAGATGTGTCACATGATTTGACACAATAAAGCTATTATCCAATCCAATCCAACTTTATTTGTTAAGCACTTTAAAACAACTAAAATCAAGTCATGTGTCCCAGGTGTTTTACACTAATCCAACACATCCAACCAGGCCCTGTTTTGTTTGCTGGCATGCTGGCAAAAAACTTAAACCAGAGTAACATCTGTTGTAGGAGATTTTATGATGGAACAATCATGAGAGCACTGCAAAGTTTGAGTGCTAAGCTAATAAAAACCTATTAGTCAAACGCCGGAGTAGTAAACCTGAAATCACACACAGACTGAAGCAGTGATATCAAGTGCTGACTCGCAACACAGCTGCTTAATCACATCCAAATGTGAAAACAGGCTACCACACCTTCACCTTGCACCCATTAACACAACTGCAGCTATAATCCACTCGTTACACCTTGTTGCTGCGATAGAGGGAAATGTAATATTCTCTGCAGCAGGGTCAAGATTTTCCAAAAAGGTCACAACCGACTTAAAAAACAGAGCAAGATGAAACGCATGGAAAATAACAGAAAATAAAAGAAACCACAGAAATGTTATTATGCATAAAAGCTGAGTAATTAAGCAAAGTATAAACTCTGACAGGGCCTCGTAAGGGCCGCCACTCTGGAGTAGGCTGGGTGAGCAGGCGCAGGAAAACCACAGCACAGCTAGTAACCTCCCAGCGTGAGGTTTGAAGGAAATAGCTGACCTCAGCGTCTCCCGAGCCCCCACTCTGCTAGAGCTGTGGTATGGGATGATTAGGGGGGTTGGATTGTGGGAGGAGGGGGATATTTCAAAGAGCCAAGCACTCCAGGCACACTGGTGTGAGCCATGAATTTACTTTCTGCCTGAAGACAGTTGTGTAGGAGGCTTTTTGTGTGTCCGAGTGTGTCTATGTGCGTATTTGACAGTTAGAGGAGGGAAATAAACCAAGAAAGGAAATGAAATATATCGTCTATTTGCATTGTGAGAGGTGAGCAGGAGTTACACGGAGAGTGATGAGAGTCTTATGAGAATAAAGTGCACGTGTGGAGCTTAAAGTGCCAAAAACGATATCACCAAAGATGAGAAGGAGTCAGAGATTTTGCAGTTACACTAAACCATGAGCTTACAACTAAGTCAGTTTGAAGTGAGCCTGAAGTTTGGAGCCATATGTGCAGAAATATGTTTCTTACGTTGCAGCTGGAGTCTTTGCAATGACCTCCATAACGTAAGCTCCAGAGGTGATGTCAGGGAAGTCATGGTGTCGAGTCTTCAGCTCTTTGGCAAGCCTAGCGACACACAAAAAAAAAAAGGATGTAAATGTGGCTGTCTGAGCATAAAGAAGGCACTTATTTAATATATTTCTGAAGGTGTTTGTTGCTATTTCACTTACGCTGGAGTAAGAGTCATCATCCTCACACCGATATACTTCTTCTTGGCGGCTCCTCTCCCTGGAGAAGGACAACAAAAAAAATACAAAAATGTAATATTTCTCGCACATGACACATCATAAATTTAGGGAATCTAGCTTTTAGGTTATCTCACTACACAAATAAATCAAGACATGCAGCCTTGTTGGCAGTCACATATAAAATACAGGTTCGACGTGCCAAAACACGACCCAAGGCAGGGTGACGGGTAGTTAAAAATAAAGTTAAAAACATGCCATATTCTGGCATTTTCTTCTTTATGGTTTATATGCAGTGTCATATTCCTGTTGGGTAATTCTGGGCATTGGTTCATTAAACTAGAAATGCTGTCAACATATCTCATGGGAGCACACAGAGATGAAAAATAACCACCACAGAAATGGTGTGCTGAATCATAATGGTCCTTTATTTGTATGAGTGCAAGGGAGGGATGTTTGTCCAAGTCATACAGCCAATTTTCAAAATGTGCCTCCCACAGCTTGTCTTTGTGATTGAGGACAAGCAATAAAGAGAAAACATCATAAGTGTTGTAGGTTAGAGCCTGTACCTCTGGACTGTCTGTCATAGGACTCAGCCAGGAACTCTTGGATTTTGTCTGAGGGAATAGCGAAGGAGATGCCGGCTGTCACTTTCAGCGTGTTGATTCCGATCACCTCGCCGTCCTTAAACAACAAACCTCAGTTTAGTTCCTCCCAACAAACAACAGTAAACTGTTAAACACATTTAATACAGTATTAATACAAAGAAGGCTCACCAGGTTTAGCAAAGGCCCTCCAGAGTTGCCGTACTGTGAACAAAAAAAGTAACATAATTTAATTGTAAAAAGAAAAAGAAAAAGTGTACCAACAATGTAGCTTCATCCTCATCCACTTACATTGATGATGGCATCAGTTTGAATATAGTCCATGTCCGAGTTGCGAAGGCCCAGTTCTTTGCCCCCTCTCTGAGTGGTGCTGACAATTCCCGTTGTGACGGTGTTCTGGAGGGAAAACGGGCTGCCAATAGCCACCACAAACTCCCCCGGCCTCAGGTCTGACGAACGGCCCAGCAACAGGACAGGAAGCTTGGTCTGCAAGTGAGAAACATCGAGACATACAACATGTTCATAGAACTGGACGGCCAAAGACAAAACAGTAATTCATGAGGATAAAGGTAATGGTCATGTAGACATTTATCTGGGGAAAAATTACATAAGGTGAACAAGAAGCAAGAAGAGGTAGACGTGTAAAAATAAAATAAAAACAACATTTCAATAGTTTTCTCAGAGTCAAAATCCACGATTATTATTATTGGGTGCCTGTTTCGAATACGGGATGTAGTATATAATTGAAAAGCGATGGTGCAAGCTGCTTTTTGATCCTTGTTTGAACCACAGCTTTAAAGGATATGGTGTATTTTAAATATCAAGAGTGGAAGGGTAGGTGAAAGTATTTTATACATATATGTATATATATATATATGAGAGAGAGAGAGAGAGAGAGAGAGAGAAAGAGAGAGAGAGAGAGAGAAAGAGAGAGAGAGCGTTACTTCTTTCTTGGTCCAGTCATGAATAAAAGGCCTTTGGTGAACGAAACACAGATATCACAAGGACGTTGTATTTTCAACTCTCCTAGCACGTACCTCTGTAAAGGTTAATAACAACATACATTTTTCTTTTACTTCTATAACTCTACCGAGCTCAAGGTCCTTGTCTTGATCATGTGTTTTATGAGTGGACAGTAGGAAAGTCTTCTAAACACACAGCCACTCTATGCTGCATGGCAATGCTCCCAAAGAAAAACTATTACTCTTTTTCCACTCGCAGGGAGAGGCGGCATTTATGCCAAACAACTCAAAATGCAAATAATTAGGATCAAAACCTTAATTCTTGGACTGAAATTGAAGCCCAGCTGACAAATCATTCCTAAAGGGCGAGTGTGTGCCAACAGACCACAGATGCTGGAAAATGGACTGATGTGAGGTTAATAATGACTACCTTAAGCTCTGGTTAGCTCTGTTACACTGGGCAATGGAAACCAGACTACTGAGAGCTTGTCTAATGAGACAGACACAGAGAGGATATATTTATCCATCCACTGTGACAGTTTCCTTCTTCCAATGCAGTCAGAGCCCACGCGCCGCCACATCATGTTCTGTCTGTGTTGACTTTGTACCCAACGCCCTGGTGGCAGGCAAAGGCTAAAAAAAAAGAAGTAACTGTCCAGACTGGTCCTCTTACTGTATGTTTCCATCTGTTTACTCCAAGTTAATAACTAGAAGAAGTTTGTGCTCTTTGATTTGTAGATATAAATAAAATAAACTGTCAGACTATGCATGATTTCTAACAAGTTTAAGTGAAATTCAGAGAATTGGTTTGTAGGAAACTTGAATTATTTTAATGTATAGGTACCAGTGTCCTTCACATTATTGTTACTGGTGTTGGTTTCAGCCAAATATACAGTACTGACTAGAAATTGGAATAGGTTATTGACAATTACGCTATAGTCAATATCGGACCATCAAAAAGGTTTTTACATTGCTCCAGTCTTGACCCCAAATAATGTTGCAAATGTGTAATCATGTATTGACAAAGTACGCTATATCATGAAAAAATACATATTTTTGGAAACTGCAGCCGTTACAGTTTAGCTAGAATTACCAGTATCTGAATCGGTATTTGTCAACATTGGTATCAGTATTTGTATCTGTATCTGCCTTCGATTTTGTCCAATGAAATCCCCTATCAAAAACAATTATAGCAAAGTATTGATCCAAGATCTTGAGAAAGAAATTGGGAAATTATTCTAGTATCTGTATCGGTACCAGACCAGTATTGGGACTGGTATCAATACTGGTATCTGCATCAGCCTCCTTTTTCCAAATGTGAAATCAGGTATGAGGACTGATCAATGCACAAATCTAATACCATGTAAAAAAAAAAAAAAAATTCAGGCTCAAAATATCATGTGACGATAAACATTATCTGGTGAATGGAAAAATGACAAGTTTACATTTTTTAAATCATTTACGTGAGATGATAAAAAATGGCTCAGATTATGTCTGTGGGAAACTTAAAATAAGATTTTTGTTTTAGAGTTTGCTGTAAATGATCTTGAACCTTTGAGATTAAGTTATTATTAGAAGATGACAGAGATAATATGAGCTGGTAACCGAGTAACTGAGGAAGAGAACCTGTCAACGCTACTTTCCACCTTACCTCATATGTACACACACAGATACACAAACATCAACATACAAACATGTTCCTGATTCCTGTGGGCTTGTTCGAACATTGTGTAGAAGTTAAACACACACATACACACACACACACACACACACACACACACACACACACACACACACACACACACACACAACTGCAGATATGTGTCCTTAAACTAGGCAACACAAGCACTTAACACAGGAGAAGCAGTGTGTAAGCTCTCCCTCTGCTCCCCTTCTCTCGTCACACTCTGTGTGAGATAAGAATATAACCAGATGGAGAAGGGAAGCAGAAGAAACACACACTGAAGAGAGAGGACATCAGGTGAGTCACTGCCAGCGCATTCAGGACTCGGCTGGACCCTGCTACTGCTGTTGCTATGGGGACTGTTGCCGTCAGGTGGAAAACATGCATCTCCACAATGTCAACTCAGAGATTTTACTGCTTTGCAAGCCACAACACACCCACACAAAATCACAATGCATTCAGAAAAAATCACGTAGAAAGGGTGCAAAATGCATCACTATGCTGACAACATAACATCACCAGGGTGAGAAAGCAGAACAAACACTGATCAAGCACATTTGAAAGCTTACATATCACTTACTAATCGTGCCGACTCGGCGATCTGGAACGACTCGTGGAAAATCCTCCCGCCATGTGAGTCTGCCTCTCCTGATCTTCTTGACCACCCAAGTGACTCACCCTTCTATTTCAGATGAAGGCTATGCTGCTCTGGCACTTCACCAGAAGACACTATGGCCATATTTAAAGGCAGTGAGCAAGGTGAACGAGAGGAACAACAAACACCACAAACCACTGGAAGGAAGTCTGAGAATGTGAGACCAATGAGTCAAGCAGCGTTTCGTTTGGTGTTACATGGATGCATGGTGCCTGTGCTTGCATAACTTGCGACCAAAAAAAGATTGTTTTAAAACCGTAACTGTAAGTAGCCATCGGTTTTAGAACATGCCAGAAAGAAAACCTACATGGTTGACAAGAATAGCATTCTATTTTCTGAAAATGAAAGCAGCATATTTGCCTTTAAACTTCTGGGCGATGCCACAGATTGTCTTCTCAGAAGAAACAAAGGAATCCATGTTTTCCCAAGTTCTTTAGTTTTTAGATAAGATCGAGAAGTGGGGCAATCAGATAAAAAGAGGGAGGACTTAACAACTTTGTTTACGATGGCCAAAGAAGTAGCTGCAAGAGGCACGTGCAGTGCAAAATTCCTGACTTTTTTCCCAATATTTCGATTCTTATCTGAGTCCTGATTCTGCCTCCTGAACCCAGACAGATTTTGTCGCAGCTAGGTCATTGGGTACACCGTGGCGAGGGAATAATGGGAGATATACGACTTAAAAATGTCTGCAAAGTTCTTTAGAGATGTATCATTGTTAAATCTTGGTCTTCTGGCGGCTCGTTTTTAAAGCCATTCCACTAACTACCATTTTATGACAAGAGGACCAGGTGCAAACTTGAACTCCAGTCAAGCTTAAATGGTTTAATAGTGTCAAGGGCATGTATGTAAAAGGAGGCAGCCTGGTTATGAACCCCCACAAACTAATCTCTGTAAACTGAAACCTACACCTTGCACTGCTTAAATATATAGCCAGACTTCTTCAAAATAAACACATTCACACACAGAAGCTGCTCTGGTTGGGTCAGTGCATGACCTGAACTCTATATAAGCTCCTGGTGTTTTCACACGGAGGACTTTGAAGCAGGAAACCCACTCTCCTTTAGAAACGACATTGCTAAAACCATAAATACACTAATGTGTAGGATTTTTACTGCTGATGTCTGAACTTGTGTCCGCAGGGGCTCTGCCGCTGCAGATAAAAAAAAAAAAAAAACGGGGCAGGATTCAGCATGCGCCACATAACATCAAGGTATCTGAGGATCACAAGATCAAGCCTTAAAGGTGGCACCAAGTGTGTATTTGTCTGTGAGTCTGAGTGTGCTTGGATGCTTGTGTTTGCATTTTTGGTGGACTTGAAAAAAAGAGATATGTAGGTGAATGTTTTCCACTCTGTAAATATGACAGAAGTACATGTTAATCAAAACCATGAGGTAGGTCCCAAGGAATTCCTCGTTGCACCGTAATTAACATGTTCAAATCATAATGGCTAAAACATATCCTTGCTGACACCAGTACGGAAAACCACTATGGTTTCCATATGTTGTTGGTGAGGCTTTTAGTCTCTGGAATAAGAGCAAACATATGTGTGTGAGTTCTGTGTGTACGTTTCACTCTGTATAGTTTGCATTAGACATGAGGGCAACTCAGCTCCAGCTATAGACATCATCACAAAACTTTCAACTACACAAGTCACAATGAAGAGAGGAAGATGAGGTCTAGAGTCTTCATTTGCTTCAGAAAGAGTGAAACTTTGTTTACCTAAAGTATTAGGTCATGCTTTTATGAATAGGATTTAAATGTTTCCTGTGATGCCTTAAAAGACTCATCCTGTGCGAGGTTATCACTCCAGCCCTGACTTTAAAGGGGATATAAGGTTTATATAAATGGATGAATGTTTAACACCGACACTGTATATGCAGAGAATATAGAAACATGAGGGAAACCTATGCATTTTATACTAATTCCTACAGGTTTTATATGTCTAGAGCTGTTTATTGAAGTCTACAGTTTTCTTTATATGTTAGGGGGAGAACAGTGGAACCTCCTAAACTCACTGAAAACCAAATGGTTACAGTCTTCCTTGCCTTTTGTAGTCGCACAGTATCCACACACTCACAATTTGGAGAACAACACTTTTAATGTTTGAGTTAGCAGATAGTAAATGACACAACTCATTTCCTCCTGCTCCTCTAGTGGTATCTAGTCATGAAGTCTCAGAGGGTAT